TATACTGGACGGGAGGTGTCAGCAAGTGTAGCTAATATAACACCAACAAATCACAATGTATTGTGGTCGTCCACGACCAACTGTGAAGGACAATCCAATATTTTCACAACCAGGAAAATCAAACAAGAATCCTAGCACTTTAGGTGAGTTTTCGCACTTGATTACCATCGCCAGACATGTCATTAGAATTTCATCTCAGGGAAAGTCTGGAGGGAGTTGACACTTTTCATGTGTTCACATTTTCACATGTAATAGTAGACCATGGTTACCATATATCCCTTCACTCACCACAACCCCTGATTCAGGCAACCCAAGACCAGTAGTATCACCCTTGAAACCCTCAGTCGAACTAAAGCCATTCAAGATAGTTACTGAATGAGATATCAGGCAGCACACAATTTGGAAGTAGCATCTCTGTATACCCATACACTGGTTTCTCCACCAACAACTAAGGGAGACTCTAGACATCTACACTACACTACACTACACTACACTACACTACACTACACTACACTACACTACACTACACTACACTACACTACACTACACTACACTACACTACACTACACTACACTACACTACACTACACTACACTACACTACACTACACTACACTACACTACACACTACATTCCTGAGATCATTGGGGGTCTGTAGTCGCAGTAAAAGTCGAGCCATTACGTGACATACTTGGGGATGGAAATAAACACTGTAGTATTCTGTTCTTCGGTCAAATGTCACAAGAGGGGGGAGCCAGTATGTTATCTCAACCGATGACCACACTAATGAAACTAAAGAAGGTGTTTGGCATGATAACATCGTTGAGAGCTCTGGTTCCGCAAGGCCACATTGTGAATCAGAACAATAAATTGCTTTCTGGTAGATACTCCAAGAGAGTCCAGTACCCTCCAGTCATAATGATGACTTACCTCAACAAGGTCACCACTACCATTCTTGTAGTTATGCCCCACCTGGGAGACTTTCTTTACAATGTAGGAAATATGGATAAGAAGACCACAACTATAGTGGGAAACATCAAGTTGACAATCAACACCATTTTGTCTATCAGTGTGTGTAGAAACTTCGCCGAGGAAGACGCCATTGAAACACTGTTCAAGAGACTTTCGTTTAAATGCCCTGTGGCGCCACAAAAGTTGGCTACACCATGTTGGTCTTTGTCATTAGAGTTGGAGTCTCTTCAACAAGCGCAACAATATAATGCATCACTTGCTGATTGTTCAAAGAAGACACTATATCTGATGATGGTGCAGTATTAGACCATGTTCTGGCATCGGGGTACTGGAAGTTGCGCAACATAATCATTTCTCATTACAGCGAAGAATTCTCTCCTGACAGTGCTGGCTATCATAGATTGGGTAAGATCACTACTACTGGACTTTTTGTTTCTGTGGAGTTGTGCTTATGGATTTAACAGGACACTGGCAAGTAGCTTACCCTTACCCATAGCTTAGCTAGGTTGAGCATCTGTATTGTAAATATTAGCGTTCTATTTACTTATTATTTACTTTCATTTGCAATGAGGCATCATCATTCAAGTTATGTTGATCCACTTTGAGCCTAGCCAGTTGTGTACTGTTTCACTGTTCTGTCTTAAATTGAATTCACACTGTGACCTAATTGAGATTATGCTTGGAGCCAATGCAGTTCCTGCAGCTTTGCTTCATAGATTCTGACATGAAACCACTTTGTCTAACATTGATAAATATTTAATTTAAACAAATAGTGGTAGTAATTGGTGTAAGATCATAAACTAGAGGGGATGCTCCACCTGGCCCTCTTGTTTTTTGTCACTCCAATTACTTACACTAACAAAGGTTATACATAGATAAACAAAAGAGGTATCATGACCAAGAGAGGTAACATTCCTTAAATAACACTGGAGGGCGCGATAATGATGGGAGAAACCTTTTCATTTTTAATACGTTTGCATTTATACTGGTGGTCAGCGCTGTGGCAATTTCGTGAAATCTCCGTCAAAATTAGAACCTTGCTCACAAATCACATAACCAACACTGTATCAACATACACTTATAAAGGGCACATTGATAACTCATTGTGAACACTGGCGTTGCGATGGCTTCTTTTTATTTTGTAACATTGAATTTAGCTACGTTTAAAAAAAATAACAATTGGCATATAGAACCACACTCTGACTATCAGGTCGTTTATCAGTGTTGTGCTTGTGTGTTTTGTTGTATTCCAATTCATGACTGTGATATATTATTTTGATATATTATACCCGTGAAGCGTATCTAAATGTTTGACCTAACCAATCAAAATAGACGTATACTTGAAAATTTAATCAAGTCTTTGGCCCTGGCCTATTCATGTAATTGAAGCTATACGCCTCCCCTTTAAAATGAAAACATCTTGTATTGTAAGTGTCAGTATGTCTGAGTTACTTCACAATAATTATAAAGTCCTTATCGATTAAATTTGATTTATTAAGTGGGCCGTGCATGGCTCACAAAATATATCGGCAGTGTGTCGAAAACACCCCTTATCGACTTCGGTAAAGATCTAGTGAGCTCACTCAACAGTAGTACATGTGTCGTCGTCCACGGCGAACACAGCTTATTATACTGACTTACCTTTTGCAGGTCAGCTAGTCTATCTCTCATTGTTGACGCGAATGTTTACTTGAGTCGATATAAATATCCTGAATGTATCGGACGTGTTCACCCTGTATATAACCGTCCTGAGTGTTGACAACTTCTGACCTAACAGTTGAAGTTTGTCAGCTCTTGTAATTGATAGGTTTAATGGAGGTACTGTAGGCCGCACTGTAGAGGACGTTACGGTGTCTACTGGGACGCAAGTGCCGAATATGATGTTTACCCCCACAAAAGGCTGTCCGGAAACACGTAACTCATAAATATAGCTAATCAGTCACGGGTTCCTTCAGGTAAATGCAAAGAGTCAGCAAAATAAAAAATAAATATTTCATAGAAGTTCACAAGTTCTTCTCAACATTGTAGTTCTGATATACATATACAATGCTATTCGTGGATACTGTGCAATGTAGATGTTGCGTGGCGAAAGAAGTAACACTAGATGCGCTTGTTTTACGACTACAAATGCCAACATGCACAAGTATTCAGGGCACGTTTGTGTGGTGAAGAAAAATGAACGTACTTCATACAATTTGGAACATTAAAGGGCGGCAGTCGTGGCGCTGCGCATGTGCGACATTTGTGTTAGTGAGCATTGATTTTCCCACAATCCAATGCGCTCTTCTAATGTAAATCACAAGTTTGAGGTTTGAGCTTGGCGCGACTTGCAGTAATTATCACCGGAGACTCCTTCGACACTTTCCAATCACCTAAAAATACCTAATAAAAGCCTGGTAACGTCTCATTTTGTACTCGTTGATCTGCGCAACAAAGTCTACATCTGTGTTTATATAAAACCCATATATCTCGCGCATACGTCGCGCGACGACTACCGCCCTTTAACAATCGCTTTGGTAGATGAATTTTCACATATAAATGCCATTATATGTAAGTTCCCATATGTTATATTTCGATGTAAAAAGCGTTTTACAATAAAACCAACTTGGAAAATATTATAAATTATGTTTTTTGAAAACATCTCAACGCCCAAACAATGTTATGTAATACAAAATGTTATGTAATACAATTTACGGCTATCGCAAACTATTGCGCAAATGATTTATTATATTATCTTTATGGTATTCGTGTTTTTTACAGCGCATGATATGAATACACTAAAACCGTATTCTGTAATTGTTGGACAAAGTAATATTTATTTCACGATTCTATGTACAAACATGTATCAAAAACTTGACAGAAGGTGTCACATATGGTTAGTAGTAGCTTCATTGGTGATGAGTACAATACATTGAGCCTAACTTTTATTCAGTCACATATTTCAAACAAATGCATGTTTATTGCGTCATTGGCTATCTGAGTATATATATAAATATATATAATATTTGGGCATATTTGAGAAGACATATTGGCTTCGTATACTTAGTACTCGCTTTTCAGCTCAACATCTAATTGTAATTTAACTAAATGGGTGTTTGCATATTTTTGTGTCTATTAAATACTAGTCAGTATATCATGGCTCTGGTAGCGATATGTGGTTTGCGGATACCGGCACCGATGCTAGATGACGTCATTGATCACAGAAAAACTATCAACAGCACGATGACAGTAATGGCAATCGCTATAATGGCGATAATGATGATTTTCTTCTGCAACAAAAAAAAAACAAAAGAACAATTTACATTGACAATATGGGTACTATCTGTGTTCAACATAACGTGTTCATACTTACAGTAGATATAGTGAAATAAAGAACACCACACATAGGCATGCGCTTCGAATTACTGGTACGTACAATATATGTCCATTTTGCGTTGTTATTTATTTTCTCGAATGTATATTACTTCCGTCTGTTTCCATGCTTACCCGTCGTGCTTTACTTTGGTACTTAACCGCTGATTTAGTTGCAACCTCTGCCTGTGCCACGTACTCCGCGGCTTCCTCCACATTATGCTCAATACTGTCTATCATCTCTCCCTAAAATAAAAAAAAGTTTACAATCTTTTATTTTGCTCTAAGTGGAACAGCAGCTTATACCCTATATTCCCGCTATATACTTGTGAATGTTTCACGTTTGCTGACATATAACTTAAGGATACTATAACAGCATAAATTCATTGATTCAATTAATAAGTTATTAGACTTTTGCACAGAAATGTTTGTGTATGGGTATTGTCAAGACCATTTTTTTCATCGAATTTCTGCCTGAATCTATTCGAGACCAATTTTTTTAAGGATAGGTACAGCTAATGAACTTTTGGTGCAGGGATTTTCTGAAATGTCCAAATAACAAACTTGGGGTAAACGAACTAGTATTTGTCTATTTCGGTTATATGATTTTTGATCATTTTTTTTTTAAATCCAAGTGTCTCTAAGAGTTAACAACAAAGTCGTTGTTTGCATGGAAACAAGTTCAGATACTTTCGCTTTTTATTTGCTCTTTTTATATTTATTTTATTGGAACTCTTCCTTTAAAAAAATTTTAAATCCTCCGTCAATATGATCGCCCCCAGCGGCGACATATGGCAGCGTCATGTGACTCACCTGCTGTTCAACCATCATCGCCATATCTAAAAACATCTCATGAAGTTCTTTGATACTTTGTTCAAGCTTCATTAATTCGTCGTACCTCGCTTCGATGTCACCCAGCGCTTGCTTGGCCTGTTGTGTATCTGCGATAATCTACAGAGAACAAGTCTGCTTTTAAAATTACGGGTACAAATAGTTTGTTTCAAAAACAAAATACAGTAACGGCATTTATTTATTCATTCACTTGAATTCATGGTATACCTCGCGGCAATCCGTCACAATTGAGAAAAAATGATCAAAGCTGTAAATTTCAGCAAAGATTCCATGTCCCTTGGCTTGATGTGGTTAATGCACCTTTCCTATAATGTGTCCCCATGTTTGAACATGAGTACCCATGCTACATTTTGCATGTACCCGAGCCTGAGGGAAGTCGTGTTTTTATTTGTAACTTACACTTGAGGTGAATATTGCTGCGTTTCCCGTTTCTAACATTTCTTCGATTTCTTCATCGGTTGTATTCTGACCAGCTGTGAGCAACAATAAAATAATTAAGTTTAAAAACTATGCATGGGTTTCATAAGACCTATATTCAATTTGTGTTTCTCGTAAAACAGACATGCCGGGGCACCTCCGAAAAAGTAAAGAGAAAAGCAGCTTACTTATTTCGAGTTGTCTATGTATACGTCCTTTGCATTTCTCACGATACTCGACTTGAGAGTTACTGTACTCTGTCATCACTTGTAAAAATGAATAATGTAGAGACGAGTGCTGTGGAGAATAAATATAAAAGAAATGAAAGATATAATAAATAATGTGTCTTCGGCCGTGGCGGCGGCACCGGGGGGGGGCAGGTAGCGCGTCGCCTCCACTCCAATCAAGCTGAAAACCCTTGTGTCAGCAATATTTGTCCCTCAAAATACAGGAAATAGCGTTTCAGAGGGCCTAGATTTCAGATCTCACGCCCTCGTGCAAAATGTCGTGCCGCCGCCTCTGTTCGGTGTCACAAAATATTTTGTTTGAAGTATTTAAAACATTCAGTGATTACCTGGTTCTTACGAATCCTAAGGTCGGCTGGTGATTTCAAATTGTGCTGTAATTTATCTTCTTCTATGCTTTTTTCGATTTCTAAATACCACACAAAATAAACGTTTCATTATTTGCAGTGACAGAAATCATTGAACTGAACTGTACATATCCTCAATAAATAAATAAACAATTAATTAATTAATTAATTAAAAATAAATAGATAAATTAATTAATTAATTAATTAATTAGTTAAAAAATAATTAATTAATTAATTAAAAAAATAAAAAATAAATAAATAAATCGTGTTCGCTTCGACAAACGGCAAAGTATTTTGGGGGTATTTCCACGCTTAATAATGTGCTATACACATTTAATGGTGGATAAAATCGATGGAGTAAAGGTAACTCAGTGCCGTATTACCATCTGAAAGACTGGCATTTCCACATTCAGCTACAAACACAAATTCAAGTTCATAATAAAATCAAACGTGACAGACGTTCGGTCCGTGCCTTTAACGCAATAGGGGCGTCATTTCCTACCAGATCACATGAATGAGATAATTGCAAGCAGCATGTTGAGTGATGAGGCTGATGGCCGCTGACAAACATAGATGCATATATCAGTAGAAATTTCATCTTTCCGATTAACTTACCTTTCAGTTTCATTCTTACGTTATTGGACACCTTTTTCACTTCTTTCATAATACGATCAACCTCTGCCTGATCCTCTGTAATGGGAAAGATGACAGTACGATTATGTCCCGAGGTTGAACACAGTGAACGCATGCGTAGTTATTAAACTTTTGACATATTTGTCGCCGTCTTTTTGCCAGCGAATGTAACATGTTTTGTGTTGCTATTTCGTTTTAATTCCAAAAGTATCTCGTAGTTTGTTTGAAATCACAATTTTTTTATTATGTTTTTTTTTTGTGCCAGACGACAGTTCCGGACATTGAATGACACTGTTGTCTCTCCCGATTTTTTTGTATGTGCAAATTGCAAGTGTTAACACATAGTGCATGTGACATGGCTGTCACATATTCTGTCTATCAAATGCGCTATCCTGGCGTCAACACACACACTTGCGGATCTCAACCAGGGTTCCCCAAAGTCGCACTCGTTAGTAAATGAATTTCGACCCTTTTCGGCATTTAGGATAAGGTAGGATTTGAACTCAGATCTACTGAGCAGGAGACTGGTGCGACAGCCACTATGCTACCAGTGACCAGTCGGAAGCAACAATTTTCATTCTGGTAATTGTTGTTCAGAGTTGCCTAAATAGGAAAGAACACTCCAACTCACGTAACGGAAAAATCACTGACTTCTTTAAATCAGTGTATTTCCAATTCCTCCAGGAATATGTTTTTGCCAAATGGGACATTAGCATTTTAGGTGTATCGAACACCGTTACATATCGGCGGCCATTACACTATAAGTCGCGCCCCCTGGAGACGATGAGTTTTTATAGACGTTTATGTGTGAAAGTAAGGCTGTTCACACAATGTTTTTTTGAAAGTTTACTCTATACAAAATGATAAACGTCTACACAGGCAAACTCAGCTTTGGCTTCGAACGACCTTGTTTTCGTCTATACTACGGTTTTTTCTATGTTTGGTGTCTGGACAACTAGTGACGTCACATGCAAATTAACTTCACGGAAATCAGCCTTCACCTCATTGTCTACTTGTCGTTATTGGCTGAAATTCATACCTGGTTTTGGTTGAGGGGACGATAAGATATCACTGTGCTTCTTTTTCATATCATCAACACGTTCTTTAATATGATTAATGTCTCCACGTATATTATGCACCTATTATAAAATAACGAAAACAAAATTGTCAGTTGATTAATACACCAAATCTGATTAAAATCTGATGTAGTGTACGGGCTTTAATTATTTTGGCTATAAACTTATTTTAATTTTATTTTTTATTACTTTTGTTATTAATGCCCTTTTATTTTATTTTATTTTATTATTTTACTTTGATTTTGTGATTTTTTTAATTCCGCCCTACCTACATCTGAGCCGATGCCTATGTAACGAGATTTCAACGAGACCCACTATCGACGATTTTAGTCAACGAATCACAGACCTCCTTCTATAGCGCACATGATGACGTCACCGGGCGGAGTCGGGTGGCAAACACTCAAATAAAATGGCGGATTATACCGACGTTAGCGACCGAGAATAACACGGCTTTACGGTAAGTTTATCATTGTCAAATGCAACGAAAGTCATTTTTATGTTAATATTGTGGCTC